CTTGTCTCTTCCTGTGTTCAGTTGTTGGTTCGTCTTTTGTTTGTGACTGAGTTCACCGGTGAGTGTTCTGTTTTGTCCAAGTTATTTGTATTTATCCTTGAAATAAAGGCATTTTCGGCGTTATCTGCATTTGGGTCCTGCTTCTTTCACGAACCGTAACACTAAGTGCTCTAGTCTTTGCAATAGGATATCATGGTCGATAGTATCAAATGCAGCACTGAGATCGAGCAAGACAAGGATAGAGACAAGTCCCTTGTCAGAGGCTATTAGAAGGTCATTTGTGACTTTAACCAGAGCTGTCTCTGTGCTATGATGTGTTCTAAAGCCAGACTGAAAATCTTCAAATAAATCAGATTTTTTTAAGTAATCACACAGCTGTTTTGCGACTGCTTTCTCAAGAATCTTTGAGAGGGACGGAAGATTAGAAATAGGTCTATAGTTGGCTAAAACCTCTGGATCGAGGTTGTGCTTTTTAAGAAGCGGTTTTATCACTGCTACTTTGAATTATTGTGGAACATAGCCTGATAATAAAGACATATTCATAATATTTAATAAAGAAGTGCTAATTAATGGAAAAACTTATTTTAACAGCTTAGTTGGAATCGGGTCTAAGATACACGTTGATGGTTTGGAAGAGAGAATTTTTTAATTTAGTTGTTCAAGGTTTATGGCTGAAAAACATTCTATTTTACTATCTAGTGTAATATTAGAGCTTAGGTTTCCGGGAGCTGTTGATAACACTATACTGGTCAAAGGCAAGAGGTCATTAATTTTGTTTCTAAGAGTAACAATTTTATCGTTAAAAAAACACATAAAATCATTACTACTGAGTGCTATGGGAATAGAAGGCTCAGTCGAGCTGTGGCTCTCTGTCAGCCTGGCTACAGTGCTGAAAAGAAATCTTGCATTATTCTTATTCTCATCTATTAATGAAGAGTAGTAGGCTGCTCTCGCTTTACGCAGTGCTTTCTTATATTCATTGAGAGTAATATGCAAAATTAAACGAGATTCTTCAAGTTCTCCAGAGCCACTATCTCAAGCATAGAGTGCCACCGAAGGACTGTTCCAATGTCCAGCATACTTGGAATTCTACCGAGCCCGGGTTTACTTCGTTTGGAGAAATTTCGAGGCTGCACATGTGTAGACTCCGCGGTCTTAAAATCCCAACAATGCTTTGCGCACGGACCAATTTCCCCATATCTGTGGCGGAAAATGTAAGACGGGTTCTCTCATATGACGCACACCTGGAAACTTGCTCGCCTGTTCCATTCTTCGTTTTCCGAGGCTAGGAAGTATTCTTGCCTCGCTTCTGAAGCAAGACGCTCGGAAGACATGTGCTACCAAGCAAGCGTACTCGAGATTGAGAAACACCCACAATGTTAAGTATACCTGCTGCAGAACCACTATTTCAAGTATACTACGTCATCGAGTGGCGCCGAATGCTGGGCATTTAACCAAGCCCCCAGGAAGTGTGCCGGACTCTGAGGAAAATATTCGTTGTGGCCAAACGGCGGTGTAGGTACCATTGTCACTACCCGATCTGTCCCCCTGCCCAATCTGTACTGCGCATGCGCAAGATGGTCCACCATATTGGAGAACTCCGGACGGCAACCCAAGAAGGACACTTGACACAGTGGCTTTTGGCAAAGCTGAAAAACAAAACTCGAGCCTATGAGCATCCTGACCTTCTACAGGTGCACCATAGAGAGCATCCTGACCTTCTACAGGTGCTCCATAGAGAGCATCCTGACCTTCTACAGGTGATAGAGAGGATCCTGACCTTCTACAGGTGATAGAGAGCATCCTGACCTTCTATAGGTGATAGAGAGCATCCTGACCTTCTACAGGTGATAGAGAGCATCCTGACCTTCTACAGGTGATAGAGAGGATCCTGACCTTCTACTTTTAGTAGTTGTTGGAGAGAAAACAGCTCAGAATATCAATCAATCAAAACACTTTATTAATCCCAGGGGGAAAGTATGTAAATCGAATGCATTGTATCCAAGTTGAAACAACTGATAACAATCACAGCTACTAAACTATTATGCAAATAGCTTGTTTTGAATATGCATCGTATAACGCTACTCTGACAGTAAAAAAGACATGCTAAAATGGATCAGGTGCTGTCGAAGTTAACATATTAAAGTAAAAACCTTACAAAATATGAGATGGATTTATCTCAAATACATAATAACATATTGCAGATGCACGTTATTACAAACTCTGTACATCATCTGCCTGTGTGAAGACTATTGAATGTTCTTCATCTTGTAATTTAGAAAAAGAGGGAACACATTAGATATTGCTTACCTGAGTAATTTTTGTGTTTCAAGCAATTTCAACCAATAGGTGAAAGTAGTTTTGTTGCACATCAGTGAGTAAAATATAGAGATTGTCTATCCATATTTGAATGTTAAAACAAATCTTCAAGGTTTTTCTTTATAAGGTCAAATTTAAACTATTTTCGTGATGGTTTAGAGCAGTATAACCATGAGTAATAATGATGAAGTATCATATGAAGTAGAAATAGACCCATATTATTTGACATGACCTTTATTTCAATAATTTCCGGTGGTTCAGAAGTTATGTATGATGATGGGCTCCCTGTGTTGGGCGCAGACGACCTCGTCGATGTACAGCGAGCTGCCCTTCCTCTCGAGGTTCTCCTGCAGCTCCAGCTGGCAGCGCACCAGAGCCCTCTGCTGCTCCTCAGAGCGGGACGCCGCCTCGCGCAGTCTGAGAGCGCAGAGAGAGATACACACAATGACTCGCTGGAGACGACTGAAAACATCTCTGAACAAAAGCCTACATCAGCCAATACTGGAAGAAGTTACCATATTTATTTTTGGAATCAGAAATGGCATGGATCTACTACGTAATCCATCTAAATCAGATATTGACAACATGGTAGGTAAAACAAATTATAAGAAAAATAAATTGACATGTTTTCTTTCACTTTTTACAATGTTAACATTTCCATTTGCATCATCATAATGTTTGATTATGTCCACTTTGTTTTATTTATTTTAAGATTTGTTTTTGTTAAAGCCTGGAAAAAAAAACCTATCCAAAACTTGAACAATAGCGGAGAATAGACATCCACAAATTCCATTTGATTCACAATTAAAAGATCACAGTTCACAGATAAGTTTTCCTTTTGTGTAATTCGTTTTTATATTTGCATATTGGTTTTATATTTATTAGTTTGGCGAGTTTATAAATTGTTTTTATATTTGTGGAAAATGTTTTATGTTTACAGATTACACATTTACACACACTGTTGATGTGCTCACTCAAATACAATTTAGCCAAATTTATTCTGCAGCCCTGCCCTCACCTGTTGATGTGAGCGTTGAGCTGCTGCACCTCGGCCAGCAGCTGGGTCTGGGCCGGGTCGTGGCACTGCTCTTTGCCCGGCCTCTGGCGGCGCAGCACGAGCCGGGCCTGAGCCAAACTCAGGACGTGCTCACTGTCTGAGACGGCCACCTGCAGGTCCTCTCTGGTCCTCTGCTCGCTGGCAAACTCAGACAGAATCTAGAGAGGAAAGAGGGGAAAGAGGGGAGAGAGGAGAGACACCCGGTCAACCTGTGTTTTCATTTAATGGTGAAATCAGAGGAAATCGCTAATCTGAAATTAATACTTCTTTCTTTTTTTTCTGTCGATTCTTAATGAAAGGATCATCTGGGCAAGTGATGATGGTCCATCCATCCATCTTCTCCCGCTTATCCGTGGTCGGGTCGCGGAGGTAGCAGTTCCAGCAGAGAGCCCCAAACTTTCCTTTCCCTGGCCTCTTCAACCAGCTCTGACTGGGGGATCCCAAGGCGCTCCCAGGCCAGCGAAGAGATATAATCCCTCCATCTGGTCCTAGGTCTACCCCTTGGTCTCTTCCCAGCTGGACGTGCCTGGAACACCTCCCTAGGGAGGCGCCCAGGTGGCATCCTAACTAGGTGCCCGAACCACCTCAACTGGCTCCTTTTGACGCGAAGGAGGCGCGGTTCA